AAAGAGTTGTAAGATTGTTAAAGATTATCTTGATAAAGTTTCTTCTTATTGTGTAGATGATTTTTGTTAGAATCTCTATAAGCACAGTTCTGGTCTTTGTATGTAAATATATAGTAGTTGGTAATTTTAGTTAAGTAAAATTTTTTGTCTTTAGCAGAGATTAATTCAGAAAAGTTAAATAATGTTGGGAGTAGTTTGGTGAGATATAAGATAAACTGTCTATGAATTTGAAGTTAGACCATCGAGCAAGTTTTATCTGAGTTGGAATTAGTAGCAATAAATTAAGAATTATTTGTCAACTATTTGTTGAATATTGTATTAGAGTCTTTAAGTGAAGGAATATTGTATTGTTCTTGAAATAAAGAAATGCATAAATTGAATTATATATAAGTATTGTTTCTAGCATCAGATTTAATAGAAAAATATTCTTTTTGTATATCTATACTAGTAGCCTCAGAAGTAATAAAGAATTTTTTTAAAGTGAAGTTAAGATCTTATACAAATTTGCATAATTAAATTACTTGATAATTATTGGAAAAATATAGATACAGATGTGCAATATTAAGGCAGACAAAAAGTCTTTGTGAGTTATTATAGGATAGAAAAGTAGTAAATAATTCAAAGATTTTATATAATTAAGTTTGATAAAAAGGATAGTAGTAGATTTAAGAATAAAATTTCTTTGGGCTTCCTCTTTCCTCTTCTAAAACTAATAGTAACCAGTCTTAAATTAGTTTACAAATAGAAAATTAAGAGGTGATTTGCTACACTTAGATGGTTATACAGAATATAATAGATAGTTCAAAATTAATATTATCTTGATGCAAATCTGTAATTAATCTTATTATGTATACAGCAAATTCAAAATAAAAAAAAGAATAAGATTTCTAAAGATTGATTCAAAAAATTGAAAAGAAATAGAAGTATTAGGTTTAATTTCTGGGTTTGATTTATTAATTAAATCAGATAAGAATTCTGGTTTGCTAACAGCCATTATACAAATAATATATTAGAAAGATGCTTTAAGAGCTGGCCTGTTTTTAGTTTAAGGTTTGATTTCTTTACCAGAATAAAAGTTATAAAAGTGTTGTTTGAGAAAAGTTAGTAGTTGTTTGGATAAAATAGTTTGTAGTTTAGTATGAGCCTCTATTTGGTCTATAATAGGATAGGTTTAATTTAGTCAAGATCTAAAGTAAATTTATTTTTAGAGTGATGGAGTTGTTGTTGAATTGTTTATTGTTAGATTCATATATCTTCTACAGCTAATCCTACTACATATAATAGTCAAATCAAAAAACTTTAATCTGCTTTAGCTAATACTACTACTACTATCTCTGCCTCCTCTATTACAACAACATATATCTATACATGCTCCAAATGTTGATAACCAATTAACTATAAAGTTATTGCTGAAAATCACAGACTTTAAGATAATGCAATTTTTTATAGTAATGAGGCTTACTATATTAAATATTTAAAAAACTTACAAAACCAACAAAAACAACAACATAAAACATCAAAAATGAAAAAAAAACTCTTTCTATCAATCACTTATACTAAAAATTTGCTAGTCAAAACCTGTTAATAACACATTATTTTATTAAGATAACCACTTCTTGCACTCTAAGTAAAATTGCTCAGCTTAAAATTTTACATATAATTTAAAAGTTTCAACCCTCTATCTTGAAAACTCGTAGCAAGACGCTACAAAAACTATTTTTAGTTTTAAAATCTAAACTTTTAATTATTTCTCTAAAACTGCTTTTACAACCTATCTGGCTGCTCTAAGACAGATTGTTAAGCTCACTAACCTGGTCAGAACAAGTCCTCAACAAAGATTTTTAGCCTAATATTGACCAAGTTATCAACAAAAAACTCTTTTTGCTCTCTTGTAAAAATTCTTAAAAAATTTTTTTTTCCATACCCCCAACTTTTTCCCTCAACCCGTTTTTCATGTAACAAGAAGTTAATTCCAAATTTAGATTTAATTAAATTTTCTATTGTATCAATCAAATTGCCTAAAATAGTAACTTAATTATTAATTCTAAGCTATTTTTATTTATTGTTACCTACTACTATTTTTATACAACTTTGTACTCTAGTGTTACGTGTAACTTTCTTGTTACACTAGCCACACTAGCCACACTCTCATACTACCCCAGACTAATTTGGGTTACACAAGATTACACAAGCCACACCAGCCGCAGTAGTAACACAACAACCCCTGCTCGTATCTACCCTTGTTAAATTTTAACTTAACTATACTAAAATTTTTTAAAGTCTTATTACTAAAAATTTTACTAAGTTAATTAAAGTCTAGTCCTTAAATAAACTTATTACTAAGATGCCTACCTTAACAAGCACAAGCCCAGATATTATCAATCTTGATTACTTCTACAAAAATCATCCAAATAGTTATGGAATTAGAATCTTTGAAGATACAGCTAATATATCTCGCCCAATTCTGACTAACAAATGACCTACCAATTGTATTTCTACAGAACTCAGAGAAAAGACCAAAACTACACATTTCTTCCAAGCTCCACTTATGTCAGCTACCGTTACCTGTATCTATGGTAAATATCACACTCAATTTATTTCTTAAAACAACCAAGTCTATAAAAAAGACACAAATACAACTGCTGTTAAAAACACCAAGAAACTCAGAAATATTGCAGCAGAAATTGAGCAAGCTACTCAATTTATTCCCCCTTCTCCAACTGCATCTCCAACACCCGATGTACATCATCATGAATATGCCAAATGTAAAAAACCTATTATGTACAAATCAACTAATAATTTACACTACCTAGCAGCTGACGCTATATTGTTTAATGACAAACCTCATCACAAATCTTGTATTGAATTGAAACTGAATCTACTACACAACAAAGTTCCTCCCCTCACAATCCTCAACAAGGCTCTTCAACCAGTGCAGACTCATTTATTAAAAAAACTACAACAATCCTTACATGAGTATAGACCCAACAATCCTTTGTCTTCTGAACTTGGCCCCTAACTTCAACTGAACAAAGAAGTAACACCAATGATAATATAGATATTGACAACAATTCTACATCCAACAACACAAATACCGCACAGCAACAACAACAACATACTAACACTTCCAATACACAACAACAACAACCCTACTTACAACAACCAGAACAACAACCAGATAATACTAAAGATACTACCTCTAATCAACAAAATACAAGTACCTCCTCCCACTCCAACCAACAGAACACCAACACTTCTAACAACAAAAATAATCCAACATTTGACTGGTTTGCTAACTTTCCAGTCTCTGAAGAAATGGGAAAAATACACATAATTACAAACAGATATGGCTAGAAAAATATTTAATCACCTTAAAAAACATCTATTTGACTTCTATCCAGGCAAAGAAATTCGTCTGAAACCCCACTTGAAAAGCTCTTAAAGCTAGCTTTCATTACATCATTCGTAAAATGGCTGGAGAAAGACCACAATTTCTCACAGAATTTATTCAATAACAAAACCCTAATACTGATGCAGCCCTTACAATCCCATTTGACATTATCGAAGAAACCTTCAAAAAACTTGCACTTACCTTTACCACAGTCCTTTTCACCAAACTAAACTATCCAAAAATCGTCACCTTCTCTGCAACAATACCTCCTTACAAAACTCAAAACAGATTACAATTCTGTATTAACCTGGCTCGCCTCTACTTATACTTGTCAGACAATAATCAATCTATCAACTATAACAAATTTGCAGTGGACTTTAAACTTAGACCAAAAAGATTTAAAATATTCTCCACAATAACTAGCTATGACAAAGATGAAAAATACCTTCAGATCAAATCTGATACTAAATTTAATATCTATCTCGAATTCAATATTCCTAAAAATCTCTTCATTGAGAAATTTAATATACCATCCCTATTAAACTCACTTGAACACTTCAATAAATGGTTTGACAACTTTTTTCCACAATATAGTTGCCAGTTTGAACTGCCTATAGACAAAACAAAAGTCTACAACTCCTTACGATATCAATTCCGTCAAGCCTTTGTTCAACACCTCAAAGAACTTCTATCTACCTCCTTGGACTTCAACAAACCTAACAACACCATTTAACACTGTAATGAAGCTATTAAACATACAAACCATCATATTCTTACATGCAGAGATACTTCCTGTCTCTTTGCTAAAACTATTAACAACACCGACAAAGACAAAGCCAAAGAAACAGACAATAATCTAAACCTTCAAAAACCTCAATACAGACACAACTTCAAGCAACTACTCAAAGCAATTCTTAATAAATCTTATATAACTTATCCTAAATAAGACAATGAAAATCTTATATTTGATTCATCTATTTTCTATATAGATGGTAAATATGAAGCAACCTTTAACAAACAAATTCCAACCAAACTACGCGACAAGTTAGCAACTTTAGCTGAAGAAGCTGTTCGTTCACCAAATACATCTAAAACAGTTAATCACAAACTCCCAGTTACTATTTCTATCTATACCTTGCCTTCTACCAAAAAATCGCAGCACAAAACCACAACATAGATTAACTTAGCAGACAACAAGCTATAGATACACTTACTCTCAAACCTATTAGCACTGAACTTTTAGAAGAGTTATAACTTACTATGACTCTAAAGATAAGAAACTAAATTATCCACAAATTGCAAAATATTTTAAAAAAACAGCTTACCCAGAAGCTAAACAACTTCTTGTTAAAAAATTTAATATGCATATTACCACACCTCTTTCCATTGAAGAAACTTTATTCTTCAATGAATCTCAACCTTCTTTTCAATAAACTTGTCTTTTACAAAACTCATGAATGCAGCCGCCACTTTACCAAAAGACACACCCATAGTAGTTGGTAAAGAGAATGATGTAAGTAAGCAGGCGGGAAAGCCTATTTACCTGGATTTCTGGGTTTATGATGGCCAGACTCAACATACAGAGCAGGCTACAGGTAATCTGAAAACAATGCGAGCCGGGTATACGGTGAGCGACCTTGTAAAAGACAATTCTAACAAGTCACTATCAATATCATCCACCTCCTGTGACTTGCCAAATAATCAATTACCTAAACCTAACTTCATCCTACATACTTGTTATAACAAATATCTATCTAGTCAGCTTCTACCTCCACTACTACATCCTCAAACTATAGAATCATTCTTTGCATATATTAATAAAATCAAACACACATCTAACAGATACTTATACAAGCCAATTATTTCTATTAAAAAAGATCACAGTGAAGCACACATATATCTCTCCAATGAATTCAAACCACTCAAAGATCACATTATTCTACAAACAGACCAATACCTAAAATACTCTCAAATACCACTAAGATCTTACTCTGAATACACTACACCTAATACAGTGCCAGATATCTTTATATCAACACCAGTATCTATACCTGAAGTTTCTACAACAGAAACAAATGATTTAAACCAAAACCCACAAGACCAACTATACAGTAACCCATCACAGTATCCTACAAACTTTTCATTATACCTAAATATCACTACACACAATGTTAAAGGATATAACAATCCAGAAAAATGACTTTTATAGGAAAATTACTGTCTAACTAACAACCTATATGTAATTAGCTTAACAGAAACTAAAATTTCAGACACTACACCTACAAAATTTTACAACACTCAACACTATCAATACTACTAGTCAAATTCTTCAGAAACTAAAGAAGGCACTTGTATTATAATATGAAACTATATCCAACCTCACATTCACAACATTCTCATCCACCCAGGTGGTGCAATTGCTATAGATCTATTCTTTAAACATAACTACAAATTTAGAATTATATCTGTCTATCTATCATCAACTAGCACAAATGGGCTGTCAAAAGTAGAAACCAGGGAATTTGGCTGATCACGGGTTTTGAGAAAATTAGCAAAAACTATTTTGTTACACAAAATCAAAACAATCTAAAAATAGTTTATTCAATATTAACAAACCTGTTTAAACAGGATTATTAGATCTGTAGATCACTATCATACTAACATTTGTATCAGTAAATCTATTTTTAGATTATGGCATCAAAAGCTTTTAACCAATGTATCGCAAAAATTTATTAAATAATCAAACTTTCATTATTAAGCAAAAAAATCAACCTGGGACTACACTTTAGATCAAGTCCGCCCAATCTCACTTATAGAACCTCTAAAAAAA